GACTGCTCGCTCGACGGCGTGACGTAATCGCCGTCTCGGTTTCCGTGTTTTCGAGAAACACGGTAGTTTCAATTTTGACAGGGTACCAAAGAGGTGCCGACCCGAAAGGACACAGTGCATCGCGCAAAGGATTTGTTCGGTAAGAAGGTTTCGTATGTATCCTAGAGATTCTCTACATGTGTGACATTGGGAAATTCGGGGTCTACAATCGGGACAGACAACATGCCCATTAGTGCACTGGTAGACTGGTGCTTTTAAGCGGTTATAGCATATAGGGCAATTAAATAAGGCGTCCAAAGAAGGGTTCATTGTGATGAGTGTATGCAGCAGGGAATAGACTGTAAAGAAGAAAGGAAGAAGATGCAAAAAAAGGTATATAATGTTAAAAGGGTAATTATATCTAAATATTAAAGATATGGTTATAGCAGGTGTTGTTTACATAAGAATGGGTGTGCGGTCTCCCGAAGGAGGGGGAGATATTTCGGAATTTCGTGTGATTAAATCGGATGCGCGTTGGACCAGTTCTATGGTGGGTCTGATGCGGCGGGGTTGCGGTCGAGGGTGACGTAGTCTTAAATAAATAACACTGAGGATACTTCCTATCCCAAGAACAGCGATGAAGGCTGACACGATAAAAATGGTAGTAGGTGTAGAGACTCGAGAAGAGGGTTTATAATTTGGTTGAGCCGTAAGAAGTTGTTCTAGATCGAGTTCCATTTTGGTTAGTGATTTGTCGGCTCGTAAGATCTCTGCATCTGTTTGCATCTCGGAGGTTAAAATGGGAAGTTGAGGTTGTGTGAGTCGAGTTTGGATGATTTTTAATTCTGTTTCATTGATAATATTTTCGATAGGAGGAATGATAAAATGATTCGTAGTTTCGAGATGGATTGCAGTTTTCCTTTGAAAATGCGAAGTTAAAACAATTCCGGGAAGATATCCGACACAAGTTTCAGGAAGTATTATTATACCCGTATTGTTTATTTTAGAGATGGTAATTGGAGGATCTTTCTTGCCGTTGGAGGGACATTTAATGGTTAGGCTCATAGGAGTAGGAATGGAATAAGTCCAAGTTCCTTGGTTATCTATACGTCGGAAAATAGGAGAATAAGCCCTAATTAATCGTCGAGGACATAATTGATTAATAAATTTTTCATTTCCCAAGTATAAGGAATATTCGCAGCTCTGTCTTGGCGATTGCCAGATAGGTACGCTGGGTGAGCATATGGCTACAGAAGTCGTTTGACATTTCATTAATTCATGATACGATAATAACATATAGGATTGACGATTTCTTGACAAAGCGATAATTGGATAAGAATTGTTATAATAAACAAAAGATTGTATAGTGGGATAATATACAGGTAGTCGCACAATTTCGTAGATATCAAAATATCTTGTGGGAGTAATGAGAAATATTTTGGCGAAAAGGCGGAGAATTTTTGGTAATGCTATAGCTGTAATAGATGTCCATTGGTAATATTTGAAGATGGTTTCAAGGCGGGGTGTTTCCAAGAAGGAATATTCTTCGGGTAAATGTAATTGTATCTCTTTGAGGGTGTTCAATAACACTTCTTTAGGGAGAAAATAAGTGCTATGTCGGCCTTGTTCCAAGGTTTCGATGGCATTTCGGATTTCAAGTATTAGAGTTCGAAATTCTCTGATGAGGAACTCGGTAGATCGAACTGCTGATTCCACTGCTAAATGATATTCGTTTTGGATTAATGTTTTTTCGATGAGGATTTGCTTTTTTATCAGAGTATAAATTTGGTTTCGGTTTGTCTTGGCGATTCGTAAGGTATCATTGAGTAAAGTAGCTTGAGACTGGAGAAAGTGAGTAAATTCCATATTTGTTTCGGATAATTGCGCTATTTTTTCGTTGAGACTTTCAATATCTTCCGAGGTGGCTGTTCCAAATAGATATTTGAGGATTTTGCCTCCAGCATTTATTAAGCCTCTTTTTTCTCGAGTAACGTTAGTAAGGGTTACTAATGTTTGTAATTCCCGGTAATCCGATTCATATCCTGTTAAAGTGGTCTGTAAGAAGGTGAGTTCATTAACAGATAGAGACCATCGTGGAGCGGTATGGTTATCTTGAAATGAAAAGCGCATTCGCTGTACTAATGTGATTAACAATTGAATATGTCGCTTTAAAAGGTGTAATTGTTCTTCGTAAGGATCAAAAGATATATCCAAAACGAGAATCTAGTAATTGGTAGTCATAAAGAAATTTTCCTGGTGTACAAAGGCAACACCTTTGTGGAGATTACGAGGGTCCTCTCGTGGGTTGATATGCAGAGTGGAGATCCCTGAGGTGAAGAAGGCAAATTGGAGTAGAAGGGTTAAGTGCATGGTGGATGATGATATTCTGGAGGAGAAAAAAATTGAAGTGATTAAAGAGATGTAGAGAGGGACTATATCAAGTTATTTTCAAGTCTTTTTTTATCAAGTTTATTTTAAAACGTTAGAGAAGGAAGGATCCTTGGTATCATGGATTTTTGTTTCTTACGTTAAGTCCCTCGTTTCGTTATTTTTGATTGAGTGTTAAGTCTATTTTTAGGTGGGCTAGCCTTTCGTTTAGAAATTCGACTTTGTCGAGGAGTGGGAAGAATCCAAGGTTGTTCCTCCACGGGTCCTTGACTTCTTAAGGCATAAGGAGGTGAAGGAGTTAGTTCAGGTTCTCTCGTTTCCTCCTCAGTAGTTACGTCTTCTTTGTCTCTTCTTTCCGATTCTGCTTGTTGCTGTATTTCAGTGAGGATGCCATCTTCACCAATTTCTCATCACCATTACAAAAAGTTCTCCTATAAACCCATCTTTTATACTCACCGTTCAGTTTCTAGACAATCCTATTTCCCATGCTAAATTTATCTACAACCTCAAATTCAAAAAAGGAGATCATACTCTCCGTTGGACCTCAGTTATCCATGACGAAATTCCTCCATCACCTACAAATCCTTCTACACCCTCTCTTGCAATTCCTTTCGAGCTTTTACAATTTTTCGAAAGTTCTAATAGCTTTAAATTCATTCTGAACATTTCCACTGTAGATGAATAATAATAACGATCCCAGCATTTCCCAAACCAATCAAGAATCTGCCATAACCCAAGAAGTCAACGCCGAAACTCTTCGAGCAGCCATTCGTTTCGCTCGTTCTCAGCGACCAAGATCCCTTCTTCCAGTTACAATAATTCTTCCAATTGGATATTCTGCGCCACCTCAACTAGAACAAGAGTACCGAGACGCCAATCGCCATCATCGACCAGAACCAGACTTCATCGGATCTAATGAATCCCTTAATTCTATAGAAGCTACTACTACTACTAGTAGTCCTCCGGAAATTATACCACATGCCTCTCGTACTCCTATCTTTCGTTCTCCTTCTTCCCGCTCCACTTCCCATCCTCACAACCAATCCCATCCTAGAAATTCCACCTCAACTTTTCTTCATCTTTTCACCTATAAATCGTTTATATTCCTATACAAAATATTATAATCATGTCATAAATATTATTCGTATTATATAACCAATTTTTTTTTTGTAACCTAAATTTATTTTTATTAAAACAACATTTATATTTACCTTTAACCACGTGTCCGAGTGTTTTATTTTAACCGCGTAACATAAATAAAGTGAGAGAGAGTAACCTAAATTTGTAAACTAAATTTATATAAATAAAAACCTGTGTACTCCTATTACCAATATGTAACTTGTACTCCTATTACTATTATGTAAACAGAAAAAAAAAGAGAGAGTAAAAGTCCAACTTATCAATGTTCTTATATCACAATCTAAAATCGAACTGGCACTTTCACGAACAAGCTCGATTTTCAAAAGGCCGGAGTGATGTAAGAGAGAAGCAATTCTTATATTAGAAATAGTCTTTAACAAAAACATTTCGCGAATTACGCAACAATTGTTGTTCTTATCTACCTGAGAAAGTCTCCCGTTACATTTTCTCGAAAGCAACATGACGCTTTCTCGTGAACTATTAACTTCAGCACGGCCGAAATCGCTCGTGAATATCATCAGAGACGGCCGAAAAAAGTCAGTCGCGGCGACTGACTCTTTTCTTTCCTCTGGATAGAAGTCGTCAGATAGCAACCGGACTTTTGTGTTTTTGTGCCTCCTATTTGGATTATTTGCAACAGGATTTATTAAGTGCCAAAGAAACTTGAAAGAACGTCGTCGCTAGAACTTTGGATTAAGTCAAGAACTTGATTATCAATTATCAGCTATTCAAGAATCAACCAAACTCCAGATATTTATCACTCCGCGAATCGTATGTGAACTCTCTCTCTCCGTGACAACACTTTATCCAATATGTTTTTAAATGAACCCTTGTTAATTGTTAAGTGTATCTGAGTCACTTCCAATGTTGTCTCTCGAATCGACATTACGAATCCGTCTGATCACGTACAGGACCGCTCGCTCGATGGCATGGTGTAATCGCCGTCTCGGTTTCCGTGTTTCGAGAAACACGGTGGTGTCAATCCTGACAGGGTACCAAAGAGGTGCCAACCCAAACGGTCACAATATAATTCAGCAAAAATGTCTAATGCAGCTGGAAAAAATTTTTTGCAGACCTGTGATATTAGGACAAGAAACATTGTACTTTCTATACATTAAATAAAGCAATCCAGGAAATAACTCATGGTTCACCATAAACTCAAAAAATTGCATGATCTCGTATGCGCAAATTATAAGTATTTATAAGATAAAATAAACAAATACAATTACCAAACAAATACATTAGTCACAATTAATAAGATGTGATGCTAACAATACTCGAGCAAAAAAGTTAAATGCTTGGAGTTACTTTGTCATTTCCTGATCAGCTACAAATATGTATATTTTCGACTAATGTATGAAACTTTATATTTATTAAATATCTGTATTTCATATTTATTAACAATAACGAAGTTATGCATTATTTCTATATTTTATTTATAGGTTTATCACAATTATATAAATTATTTTATTATTATAATTTAACTTAATTACCTCAGTTTTGAATATAATTTACTCAAAGCAAATTGTATAGGAATGTAGAAAAATATGGCCAAAAATCCTACTAGAATAGTCCATCCGTAATATTGCCATAACATCGCTATCGCAGTGATAATGAAGAAAGGATTTGTAAATAAATATGGAATGGAATTGGTCTGCTGTAATATATAAGAAAGTTAGTTTTATATTATTATACAAAATACTATTTATTCGATTACTATTAACATAAATTTAAGTATAATTATTACAGAAACTATAAAACATATTAAGTTTAAATAGCTAGTATACTTTTTAAAAGATTTCACTTTTTTAATTTCACAACTACAGGATCAAAAGATGCTAGACACTCAATAAGTAAAAATTACTTGGATTTTTATACATTCAGAAATTTTGGTAACTTATATCATTTCTGGATGTGAAAAACATACATGTACAGTTTGTATCCAGGCTGTACATGTATTGCTTTGAATTCTTTAAAAGTATTGTTTTAAAAGCATTAATATTAAATCAGGCAGTTTGTACTGTTTTACTCGTATAAGTGAATGAAAAACTTGTACATATTCTACGAACCTGTTTTTGCATGAAACCGATAACAACACAATCACACATAGTCATATACCATTAATTTTTCATTATTTCACCGTAAACTCAACAGTTAACACTACATTACTTTTTATTCTACACTGAAAGAAACTCGTTTACAAAACATTAATTACAGTACTGATAAATTCGTCTTTTGAAAAATTACAACTACTTTTAGAAGTTCATTTCACTGCTGCGAAGAAAGGATCATAGGCCTATGTAATGGCATCTTTTTATAACGCCAACATACTAAAACACCCATATCCTCATGTAAACACAAATTACTTTTTTCCTGTGTATTTTTAAAGCGTATCGAGTTCAATAGTCAGAAGAACTGAAAATAGTTGGTAGTAATTATTCTGTGATTAAATGCAGTTTATTTTACAGGATCACATTCATCGGCAACTATTTAGGTGATTTTTGGTATTAACTGATTACACTGCATATAAATGTTTTACTTCAAATAGCACATTTCTGGAAAACTCTGACAAATTTTAAAATTATTTATTTTTTAGTTTATGAAATAGTTGTATCCTATACAACTTAATTTATTTAATCTGATTTCAAAGCAACATCTTCATGAAAAAAAGATGCGGCACTTGATTGAAATAAAGATTTGACANTCTGTGACAAATTCCTTGTTAATCCACTAATAATTGTAACAATTACTATATATCTAGCATGTCACTATTCTCACTGTATCAAACTGGGTTATACCTATGTGGCGCCCAGTATACGCTGTACCTAGTGTGTTGAATAAAATATATCTGTATCTGTATCTGTGTCTGTGTCTGTAGAGAATTATGAGGCTATGAATGCCATACATGATTGTGTGTTTGTGCCTATTATATGTTATGCATCTGGTGTGTGGGGTGATGCGGCATTCCACTCTCACAATCACCGTAAGCTCAGAACAGCTCAACGCTTTGCGCTTCTGCGCATGACCAGATCCTACATTACCGTTTCGAATGCTGTGCTTCCCGTTTTAGCAGGAAAGCTTCCTATCCTTCAGCAGATTCAATATAGCACCGGCAGGTCTCTCCTCACCCGAGGTAAATGTATTACCATCACGAATTACTCGTTCGATGCTTCTTGTTATGAGGTTAGTAACTCTTTTGCTGAATTGCCGCACCCTGCTTTTAGAAGAGGGCTTGGATCTTGTGACTGTACAGTACATCTGTTATAGAAGTTTACACGGACAGGTCAAAAACCGAACAAGGCACCTCCAGCGCTTTTGTAGTATATATCAGAAATGAAGAAACGTTCCATGAAGTCTTTCTCTTGCACCCGGAGTGCTCGGTGTTTTAGGCAGAGATGTTTGCCGTTTTCAAAGCGATTGACTATTGTAACGCAAACTATTACAGCTGTGACATTTCTGTCTTCACAGACAGCTATGCTGCTGTTCAGGTATTGAGAAATAAAGACATCCTTCACCCTATCGCTAGGGATATCTTCATTTTAGCTGATCAGTCCAGCAACAAGTACAACATCAATTGGATTAGAGGACACTGTGGCACTCCGGGTAACGAACGTGCCGACGCATTGGCTCGGGCGACAACTTTGCTAACAGGCATCAATTTATCATATGTACAGCTTCCAACTTCCAGAATTAAACAACTTTTATGGCATCATTGCATCAAAGAGTGGCAAAAGGAATGGGATCGTTTACCACAACAACATATCTTCCGTCAATTTATTCCAAACATTGCAAGGCGCCTTACATGGAAGTGGTTTCACCCACAACACCAGATCTCACAGATGATAACCGAACATGAGCGATTTAATGTATACTTGAACCGTTTTCATCACAGTGACACGAATTGCTGCCAAATGTGCAATGTGCAGGATGGAGTGAGACATTATCTTCTGTCCTGCCCAATGTTGGAAGATATCAGGTGCACGCTTTAAACTGCAAATGGAAGAGGACAACAATAAGTGGCCGTGTGAACTTGAATTACTACTATCCAGCAAAAGTTACTTTGATCTTTTTAACATCATGACTAAATTTTACATCAATAAGACTTTAATACACTAAGTATGGTGCATTTTTTATTCTTTTTCCTTGTACATACGCGGTATTTTACTTTGCTTTGCTTTTTTTAATAATAGTTTTTTTATGTCGGTTTATTTTTTACGTTCGGCATGTGTCAACTGTGTAAGTCATGTATACATTCTTCTGACTGTGCCCAGCGAGGTCGGGCGAATAAAGAATAGTTTCTCTACAGACAGACAGTCTGTAGAGAATTATGATAAAGTATTATGAACAAAAATATATAAAAATTCTATAGTCATTTCACATCACTTGCAAAAAATTGGANTTGTACTGTTTTACTCGTATAAGTGAATGAAAAACTTGTACATATTCTACGAACCTGTTTTTGCATGAAACCGATAACAACACAATCACACATAGTCATATACCATTAATTTTTCATTATTTCACCGTAAACTCAACAGTTAACACTACATTACTTTTTATTCTACACTGAAAGAAACTCGTTTACAAAACATTAATTACAGTACTGATAAATTCGTCCTTTGAAAAATTACAACTACTTTTAGAAGTTCATTTCACTGCTGTGAAGAAAGGATAGTAGGCCTATGTAATGGCATCTTTTTATAACGCCAACATACCAAAACACCCATATCCCCATGTAAACACAAATTACTTTTTTCCTGTGTATTTTTAAGGCGCATCGAGTTCAATAGTCAGAAGAACTGAAAATAGTTGGTAGTAATTATTCTGTGATGAAATGCACTTTATTTTACAGAATCACATTCATCGGCAACAATTTAGGTGATTTTTGTTATTAACTGATTACACTGCATATAAATGTTTTACTTCAAATAGCACATTTCTGGAAAACTCTGAAATGTGTTTTGACTATTTTTCACAAATTTTAAAATTATTTAGTCTTTAGTTTATGAAATAATTGTATCCTATACAGCTTAATTTATTTAATCTGATTTCAAAGCAACACCTTCATGAAAAAAAGTTTATTTTTTATTGTATTTATTACTTTGTTTATAAAAAATTGCCAATATCGAATATTTCTAGCCTGAAGAGTGTATGTTTGCATTACGAAATACAATAGTAGTAAAAATTTCTTTTGCAAACTGAACTTTGCCTGTTGATAAGAAAGTCTTAGCTAAAACACTTATTCAGGTTTATTGTTTGATAGTCTGAATTAGAACACCAGTATAATTCCTGCTTTCATAAGACTTTCAAAATTGAGATAATGCAGGTAATGAGAAACAGTTTCATTTAGAAATAAATAATATGATGGCTGTGTATTTTTTACATGGTGAAGAAAATGATATTTTTCAATTTATCAAAAATAAAATAAACTCATAACCGTTAAAATCAGTGTTGCCGCAATAAAATTTCAAAACGTACTGAAGCGCCTTCAAAAAATGTACTATTTTCCTTCAAAATGTACTAGTTCTATGAATACTTTGTTTACGTGCCTATATATATATATAGGCACGTAATTTATATATATATA